AATGACAGCTAAATGAATGAATGATTTCTTAATCTTTCCATTCCTTGTTAAAATGCAAAAGTGGGGAGAGGAACAGAGTAAGTAAAATTGAAGTTACCGAAAAAAAAAATCTTAAGAAAATGAATCGGTATGAACACAAAATATGCTTATTTTGTTTACACACCAAAAGTAAACTGTACAAGAAAACAAGTAAAAAGGTTGAATTCATATCGCCCTCTGGTGTCGGACTCTCCCAGACAATTAAAAAAACTCTCAAACTTAACAGTTTTAGGGAGATTTTACAACAAAATAGGAGCACTCAACCTTCCCTGATCAAGGCAAAATGAGTGTAGCATTGAATGAGAAGTGCAACATCTTTCAAATTTGCTTCAGTTGTTAAAGATGAAATTATTAACTCCAACAAAGTATGGAGCCACCAGTATATTTGCTTAATGGAGTGAATTCCTCCTTCTGTCAAAGTCACTGTGTCTCACCATGATGGTCATTAGAGACCAATGGAATGAGGCTGCTAGCTGTACTACAGGTTCTCTGTATGAAAGGTGTGCTTTAAAATCTAAGACAATATGACTTTTCAACAATAGCATATAATGGAAATTTATTTATTTACTAAGCATGAGAAAAGCCATTGAGTAAAGAATGAAAGTTACAAAATAGACACAGTCTATTCATTTGCTATTAATGATGGGGCACTGTGCTGATGCAGCTGAAATAAAACAATACACCCTCCTTAAAGTGACGCTTAGGATCATGGAGAGAACCCTGGAATAAATATCTCAGTGTGAAATCATTGTTCTGGCTATAGCATAGAATTCAGAAAGTCCCTTATATTAAAAAATATAAAAGTGTTCCTCTTCAGGGTAATTTAATTTAGAGAGCTGGTTTAAATATTCCAAAAACTAATAGCATGTTTTCCAGGCAGTCTTAGACCCAGAAACATAAATTAGAAAACAGATTACACCATGATTCCTTTTGAGAGTTTTTCTAGCAAGCTGTTAGCCACTAAGTGCTCTCACCCTTGCCATCATCTTCACTGTTGTCATCATCATCATCATCATCACCATTCATGGGTAACACTCATCATCATCACTGTCACTGTCGTGGTGATCACAGTCATTGACATGATGGTCAGTGTTGCTAAGTATCACAGGTTTATGATGTGCTAGGACTGTGCTCAAAATTTTACATCATTTAGTTCATCTGAACCTCACAATAATCTCAGTAACATTCTAATTTTACTGATTAGGAAGCTGAGACTTAGTAACTTACTATAGCCTCCATAGTAGGTAACTTGCAGAAACAATTCCAATCCTGCTCATGGAAACTTTTGCTCTTAATCATTATATTGACTACCATTAGGTACCAGACTTTACTTGTGATTCCTCTGGACGTGGTGCCACATGGGGTGTGATTCTGTTAATTTATCTGCTGTATTCCTCTTTTTATCTAAATGATGAGCAGAAGGGTTTGCTAGGAGGATTTTAAAGGGTTAAGTGCTTTAAGAGAACAAAGCCATAGAGATCAATCTTGGGTGGATAAGGAACCATGAGGGAGTAAGTAATACATTGTCTGTTAGAGTCTCTTCCTCTGTGCGTCTGAACAAATGGCAATAAAATAAAGAACATGAAACTTCTGGGTGTTAAATCAATTTATTTATTTATACTATATTTGGCAAGCATTTATTACATTGTTGTTAGCACTGCACTAGGTGCTAAACAAAATATTTACACACAGGAGAAAGGCAAGCCCATATTCTTGCCTTGGGAAGCAAACATCAACTGTACAACATTCATAGGGTAACTCATTTGATGTTTTAATCAATTCCATCTCATCTGAGTCTAGTACCACACACTTGAATATATGCACACAGACATGCACACACACACACCTCTGTACACACTCCTAAAAGCAAAAGTCCAACAATGCCAAAAACACACAGATTTCAGATAAAAACTTTCAAAATTTGTCTAACAATTAAAAATAAACTGATTTTAAGAAACGCACACACATAGGACTTATAGAGGTTATTTCTACATCTCACCATCTTTATTCCTGGCAATACATGCTGTGTTACCTATGAGTAGTCTCTTTTTGGCTACAAATGTGTCCCATCTTCCATCTGTTCTTCTAGCAATATTGCTGGCCTACTGCCACTGAAGCTACATCAGCCTTCATGATGTCGTTTGACTAGGTTTTCTCAAGTACCCGTTCATTTAGCTCTCCAGGTGAGGGTAGGCATATATATTTCTCTGTAGTTCTCTGAGCAGGGTTTAACTTTGGTTCCATATTAGCAAATGTGTATGTTTCTGCTCTATTTACCAAAGTTTGCAACCTATTTTGCTAGAGTAGAAAACAGAATCTAAAGCTCCTCAAGAAATTGCTGGCTGAGCCATGAGAGAACTCAGCCCAAGGTCTCAATTTTTCTTTTATAATGGGATGTCAGTTACCCCCTGGATTTTGCTATATTCTTTCACATTTTGCTTTTCTTTCCTTCTTTTTCTTTCTTTCTTTCTTTTTTTTTTTTTTTTTTTTGAAGTCAAGTCTCACTCTGTCACCCAGGCTGGAGTGGAGTGGCTTAACCATGACTCATGGCAGCCTCAAACTCCTGGGCTCCAGCGATCCTCTCACCTCCAGCCTCCTAAGTAGTTGGGACAACAGGCACACACCATCATGCCCACCTACTTTTTTTTTTTTTTTTTTTTCCCCCCGTCATTTTTTCCCAAAGACAGGGTCTTGCTATGTTGCCCAAGCTCATCTCCAACTCCTGACCTCGAGCGATCTTCCTGCCTTAACCACCCAAGTTGCTGGGATTACAGGCATGAGCCACCATGCCCAACATGTTTTTGCTTCTTTCATTCACTTAAGTAATATTTTTCTCTATTCCAGACACTGTCCTATGCATAGGAGTTTTTCCCCTCTTGAGTTGAAGGCTGAGGTTCCCCTTGCCCCCTGCATTCCCTCTGTCCAGTCTCTCACTCATGTATTCAAGGCAGGCTGGTTAGCCAATTGGTTAGGAGGTTGGGTAAGTTTCCATGTCAGCTCTGTGTATTACTAGGAGTTCGTCCTTGACAAAGTTACTTAACCTCTCTGTATTTAGTTTACTCATCTGTAAAAGACACACTCAATAAAGAATGACTATTATCTTTAAATTGTATTATGGTGATGTCTATTTATATTTCAGTCTTGATGTAGAAGGCAATTATCTGTGTATCAAACTCATCCTGTAAATTGTAAAAAAGTATACAAATGTAATGTGGTGTTATTATTTAATACAGGGTTTAATGTAGGCTTTAATGTAGAGTTTGTGTCAAAGAGAAGTGAAAAATATTTGTTGAACACCTACTATGTCTTAAGCATTGTTCTGAGAGCTTAACTTATAGTACTTTGCTCAACCTCAAAAAAGGTCAGTGATGTAAAAATAATAACAGCCTTCTTTTATTGTGCAATTATCTAACAATCTTAATAATGTAAAAAGTAGATACTATGGTGATAATGATTCTGATTTGGTGAAGAAATTAAAAGAAGGAAATGAAGCTCAAACATTAACTTATCTAAGGAAACCTGGCCAGTAAGTGAGAGGACCAGGATATAATCCCAGGGATATCTGCTGCCAGGGTCTGAACTCTTTCTGCTACAAAACATGCTTTTCCTAGATGGAAGCAATGTATAATAGAGAAGGCTCAAGCTAGGCTGATGAAAAGAAAAATGATACCAAACTAATAAAATATTCATACTTACAGGCAAATGCCCTGACTGGCAAAATATTAATTTAATATGTACAGTGTTTTATATCCCAAATAGTATGGCATCCACATAACTGTAAATAACAGAAGTTACCAAAGCTAACTTTTAATAGAATTCTTTGCTTAAAGTTCTTAATTTCCACAGTATTTTTGCTTGCCTAATAATAGAATGATGGTGTCTAATTTGAAAATGTAGGCAGATGTATTCATTTTTAAAGGTATCACTTGGAACCTTATACCATTTATTTAGATCCTGTAGCTGATTAGTGACCTGTTTAAATAGATATAACTGGTAAATGTTTGATCAAATAATAAACATATGCACTGAATCTTCATCTCCTAACTTAAAGATCTTACAGAGTTGTCAAATGCTAAACAAAGAAAGACTGGTCCTTTTCTCCAAAAACTGTCTGCTCATCAAATAAATAAGGCACGTAAACCCATGTGCACACACTATTTTGCTTTGTTTTATGCTATACCTGTTTGCAAGAAATTGTGACCATTTTCTTTAAAACGGCTTAATTTAACTTAATTTTTTTCCTTCGACATATTCAAAAGACCTTAGATTATTATCAGTAATTACCAGTATGACTTAGCAAAGGAAACCTCATCAAAGAACTCACAAAACAGGCTTAATAGAATTTGTATTTTGTAGACTTACTTGTTTTATTTTATTAATTTCTAGCACAAACATCTCACTTTAAAGCTTCCAAAAATGCTTACACGCCCCTAATCTCACTTTACCTATTAGTGAGAAAAATGATGTTAGTTTTCCAGTTTTTTTGATTATGAAACAAGGATTCTGAGATGCTATTTAAATTGCCTGGGATTATATCAACCCGTAAGTGGCAGAGACAAACTGGAGAGTAATTACCCCCATTCCACCAGGCTTCTTTCTGTCTTAGCTCTATCTTTATTCTTCTGCCTCACTCTGTGGCAATACCATGTGATGGGAATAATGCCAGCGTTCATATACCCCTTGGTCTCACGTGCTGGGTCCTTGCAATATCATTCATACAGCTCTATTCCTCTGCACAGGTCCTTTAGAGCATCACAAGGATATAATAATAGATAGGGTGGAATCCCTCTCCCCTACCCCTACGTCCAGCAACACAGCTTCTCTCTGATTTCTCTGGATATCCCAGACACAGGAAGGTAGGGCAACTGGGTATACGGCCCACAATGATTGCATTTCCTTCCAAAATAGTTATGATGATTTTTGTCAAATAATCCATAAACACTTAATATCAAAATACTTACCGGTATAATTCTGGTTCTGCTGTGAGCAATTTGTGGGCTTTGAGCGAATCGTTCAATCATTTTAGGCCTCAGCCTACCGAATTTACTGTGAGACAAAAGAACTAATTTATACAAAGTCTATTCAAACCTTAAAATATTATTAATGTATGAAAACAGTATGTGGCATAATTCAAAAAACAACAGTGCTCAGGAGGCTAAGGTATAATTAATAAAATCCAGTAGGTTTTCTCCCTCATTTTGCATATAATGTTGCTTATTCTATCAACTCCATTTTGCTTTAGTTTCTTGCAAATGAACTAGAAAGGTGATTGTATAAAGATTAATTCTATGATGTTGGTAACATGAACTTGAATAAAAAATACTATTGAAACAGAGTTATTACTCTTAAAATGTAGGGGGTTCAGATAGGACTATATTGGGATGTAATTATTGATTTACAAATAAAGTTTAGAAAATAAGAGGCTTTGGAAGCAGAGGGTAAAGCTGGAATCCCTCATAAGCAATGGACTCTCAATTCACTTGTCAATGTACACCCTAGATCAAGGCTTGCCCAGATGCTCAGAACAGGTTACAAGTATCACACTAACCCATGCTACCCAGACAGGACAGAAATGGACACTTTGTGGCACCAGAATACCTAGCTACTCTAATCTGTCTGGGACCCCATTTTTTTTAATGCAGTAGCAGCAGAATAAGAAAAACATACAAGAGAGTCAAATGTTTTCCCAACTGCAGAAGCAAACACTTTGCCAGTAATTCCAAATAATTTAAAATGTGGCCTTTCTCTCTCTCTCTCTTTCTCTCTCTCTCTCTCTCTTTCTCTCTCCCCCCTCCCTCTCCCTTTTTTGCTATCAGTACCAAGCCATTAGTCTAAATGTTAATAGAACTATGTATACAGGCTGTTGTCCACCTTAATGCAGATTTTTCAAATTTCTTCTGCAACTTGCTGTATCTGAACACACAGGAACCTCTTTTTTCTCTCGTGTGTGCTCAAGTTACACAAGTAAGTTTATGAACATTTTGCCAATACACAAATTCTGATTTTTTTTGTGGGGAATATAAGTCGTCCCTGTGTTTATAAAGTGACAGGATCTGGAAGGATGTTGTCAGGCCAGCCAACTTTTTCAAACTCACTTAAATCAAGTGCTTTATTGAGGCAGATGACCCAAAATATGGCACAGAAAGCAAGTCTGCAACTGAGTGCAGTGGCCCTCTCCAACTAGAAATAATCTCAAAACATGGTATGTGAGTGTTGTCTCCTGGGGGGCATCACATACCCTTCTAGACAGGGACAGAGCCGGGGAGTGGCCCATCCATGTGTGTCTATGCCTATGGGGTGGCAATCTTCAGTTGCCTACGGTCGACGTAGAAAGACCACACTTGCTTAAATCAAATCTCGCATCCATCCCTTTTAATTTGTCATGGCTACATGCTCTTTATTCCAGTCCATTCTCTTTCTAGCACTATGAGGAGCAGGGGGAGCAGGCAAGAGACCCAGCATTAGCCTGTTTGCTGGAGACTTGTACAGCTAAGGTGTCTAAATATATATATATATATATATTTGCACTGTTATGTCATCACTTAAGGATCAATTAACTGGCCTCTGTGGCAAACTGCTGTTCAGCGACTGATGCCATCCTGTGAGCTGGGCAAACTGACATTGATGACCAACGCTCCCCATGGTTTGTCGTGTCTCTCAGGTTCCCTAAGACCATACCGACGGCACCTGTTAAAGCTGCTTCTGCTAAGCTGTTCTGCATTTGTCTGGCTGGATTTGGACTTCCTGGATCTCTGACTGAATACAAAGTGATTAGAGAGCCCAGTGTTTGGCAACAAGCACGATGGGGAGTACGCTGTGTGTGGGTCCACAGGAGCACAATGTTCTTCATAACCCCATGCAGGGAGCGCCCTGCTAGATTCCCTGTGCTGTGGAGATCAAAATGGTCTCCTTTGTCGTCAGCTGTTTAACAGCAGCTGTTTAATGTAATTCCAAATGATTTGCTTGAATGAAGTTGTCATTCTTGCAGTAATCTTTAATTTGGTAAAACACATAGCTAAGCAATGCTATTTTTAATGTTATTTTAGCTTTAGAAAAGTTTCCAGTCCCTGTATTTTCCATGACAACGACAGATCGAAATCATTACTGGGAAATATAATTACGCAAAGGAGAAAACTAGATATTAATATCAGCATTTTTCTACCTAAGTTAGTTAAATGCTAATTGGCAAATAAAGGTTTATCAAAACAAACAAAAAATAAGTATAATGAAATTAATAGAAGAATTTTTTGCATCATAAACTTTGTTCTCACCTATCACTAAATGTAAATTGCACCTTTTTTCTGAGGAATATGTCTTATGTTAATAAACTCAAATAGCTAGTCTAGGAAAAACGTTTTAAAGATTTCATGTTTTAAACAGTTGGACAATAGTGCTCAAACAATACAAAGAGGACCACAAATGAATCAACATTCCTTCCTTCCTTCCTTCCTTCCTTCCTTCCTTCCTTCCTTCCTTCCTCCCTTCCTTCAACTTTATTGATTATCATCCATTGCAGTTTGTAAAGAAGTCTGTTTACAAGGCAACAAATGCCTAGCCTGTGTTCTCAGGCAATTCTGCAGTTCTCTTGTGAACAATAGAGGGCAGTGATGCTTCTAATCTGGCAGACATCGCCTCGGAGAGAACAAAATCGCTCTTCTACTTGTGACTTGCCTTCCAGCTAACCAACCTCTCTCTCGGTACCACATTCCATTTGTGTAGACTTTCTCTCTCCTAAGAAAGCCACCTCTATTCTTTCTTTATTAGCTGATATTCTATGTCCAGTTTTCAAAGCACTGCCTTGAAAAACTGTTCTTCAGTCATAGTTTGTGATCTCTTAAAAAAATATCTCCTGGCTTTTCTGATATGAATGGCTGTTCTTAAAGCATTTCTTCTTACCTCACTGCTCTTCCTCCTAACCCTATTTAAATACAATTAATTCAGAGATGATGCTACTTGCCAGCATCTTGGCTTAAAAATGAAAACTCCATAGGCTAGGACCCTTTATAAATATATGTCCTGACAACCTACTGTCCAGTGGCATGTATTTATCAAACGTCACAAATTAATACGTTGATAGGCACGAGGCCACCACCTGAAGAACACACTGTGATACAGTTCTTTACTACAGAGAGCTATTTACCTTTTTTAAAAAAACTCAAAGTCATAACAATTTAAACTGTTTCACTTGAATCAAATGAGATGCATCATCCATTTCCCTGATGTGCTTTCAGTAAAGAAGAAAAGCCTTCATACGAAATACCTTAGGAGAGTGCTCTATGTTTAACCATTTTCTCACCATAAAAGCTAAAATCACCTAATCAGAAAACACTCTATCATTTTACACTGAATGGTTCATAAGAACATAAAATTCCATTTAGCACTGCTACCCACTCTCATCATCTACCCTTTTAAAATGCTTACCCATCTTTCTCATTGCTATTCAAAGAAACAGATTTATTTCTCACCCTGGAGTTGGGAATTTTGGCATGCCAGATTGAAAATGTACCCAACACCAAGTAGTGGATGGGTTATTCTTAGTCTCCTTACACGCTTAAGAGAAAATGGGGCAGTGTATGTCTCTAAATCAAGTGAAGTTCTTTGGAAACTATGACTTCAGCTATAGCTAGATTAGTGAGGCTGTTGTCATATTAGAAAAAGAACTGGGATCATGAACAATAGAAATGCTAGTCACAGCAAAAGAGATGAAGGGACAAAATCTTAGGGACTGTGAGAAGAGGTTGCAGAATTATTACCATATTCATCATACTTCTGATTTATTTTAACTTTGGTTATGGAAATTAGAGAAATTCCTCCAATGCCTTTTTGATGTCTCTGAGCAACCACTGACATTTGGTGGGGGGTATTTTGCCTCAGCCCAGCTGTGCAAACCCCTTTCATCATTTCTCTCCTGTCCCTTTCATCTGCCCTTTCACTGTCTGCCACTCCACTGCCTTTATTCTTTTCCCTTTTTTTCCTCCCCGCTTAGGCATCAGGGCCTGGGAGCCACAAGTAGACCCAAAGACACAAGGGTGGCTAGAATAGTTCCTGTTTCTTCCCTGATAAAGTCAAGGGAAAAGGCCTCCCTAGACAACCTGTCCTTTTGCTTCTTTCCTTAAGGTTTACAAAATAAAAATCAGAATCATTGGTGTTAACCTTTCTTGTGTTTTAGACTGTTTATCATATTAGATGGAAGAATATTCAGCTGATATATATTTCTTTTCTTTTTGGAAGAAGCTATCTCCATGCTGTGGCTGAGCTCTCTGGCAGCCAACAGCGCCTTTGATTAGAAGGCTACTTCATAAATTACAAACCACCAGAGTGAGAGTCATTATGTAGAATGGGCTCTGCCATCTGGTCGTCCACTCTCTACATGATAAAGGCCATCATCTTTGCTCTGTGGCTTGGTTACTTCAAGGCGTCCTTAGCCACAGAACTGAAAGAAAATAGATGTTTTCATTCTAAGCTCACTTGGCCTTTTAAACCTGGAATATTCAGGCACTTAGAAGGGTTATTATTCCCATTTAACAGATGGGGAAACTGAGATGTAAAAGAGTTAAGTATTTTTGTAAAAAATCCTGTAAAAAAATGTATAATTTGCCCTTTGCTTCAATAGCAAGAGAGCAGAGTCCTCTTTTCTCTGCTTTCTCGCTGTATAAGAAATTTCAGATACATTTTATTTCCATTTTCTGAAAGGTTCTATCAATGGAAATTGCGGGTGCATGTGACAGGAGAGAATGAATTTCTTATTGAACAGGTAGGCACTCTGCAACAATTCATCTCAGCTGCCTCTAAAGAAAAAAAAAATAAAAGTTTTTTAGTGAAGTTGATAAAATACCAGACAGGAACTCATTCTTTACTTTTATGTATATTTCTTTCCTGAAGCAAACAGGAGAATCATATCTCTCTTTACCTCTGGAAAGCAGTTCAGAACACACTGCTAGAGGTCCTATTCTCTTCAGAAAGAACTTCTGGGCATTTGAACTAAAATTGGCCAAATTAAAGAACTGTTTAGTCCAGCATGGATTCAGTATAATGGGAATTACTAATTAGTTGAGTCTGAGACATTTCTTTCTTCCTCTATTAAGGTATTTTAGAACAGTAGAGTACAGTGGACATGTATTCTGGAACATTGCCTAGGTCCTATCCATGCCTCTTATTAGCTATCTGGTCTTGAGCCAGTTAACTTTACTGTGCTTCAGTTTCTTCCTCTATAAAATGGGCTTAGAATAGTAACTGCTTCATTGGACTGTTGGGAGAATTAAAATAGTAAAATTGTTACAGTGATTAGAACAGAATTGTTTCAAAGAGAATCTTTTGCTGCCTTCTCACTAATCTTTTTTCTCTTTCTCAAGATTAAAAGTTATCAAAATAAAAGAAAGTTAGATGCAGAACCACCAGTAAGTTTATACCAGGATGATGAGGACGATGTCTCACTTCTATTAATGGAAATAATATGTTTGGCTTTGTTGTCTTTATAACCTATAAGCATTACCAACTAACATGGGCAAATGATAACTGAAGGCAAAGGACCATACATCTATATATTGATACAGACACACACACACACACACACACACAGTAGTACCTATCACTAGAAGTTCCTGTGCATACATAAACATGTTTCTTGTATTCCTGTATCGAAAGTTTCAAACTACACACTAGTGCTTATGCTTACTTCTTTGCAAAGATATGACAATTCAATTGGATGCTTTCAATTAATGTTCAGAGAGCTTTGCCTGTTCTGTAATATCAGACTTTTCTTATCAAAGAAGGTTGGAATTTATGAGACATGGCAAGATTAAACCATTAAAGGGTATTTTTTAAGTCCATATTAACAATTACTGTCACCCTCCTTTTAAAAAACAGTAAAAGAAAATGTCAGGAAAGGAGTTCAACAAACTAATACTACTACTGCTTATAGTTTCCTTTTATCTTAAGTCTATGTTCTGATTTAAACAAGTTAATCTCAGAGGTGCATTTGGGCTTTCTGCATATTTTATAATAGTTGTGCAAATACATCACAGTGTATATATTCTTACAATCCTGTGATATCATCCTTTAACAAAGTGTATAGGTATAGTCCAAATAAACTTAAAGCGTACATAATTTCTTAGCTGAAAAGCCAAGACTCTTTGGAAGTATTAAGGATTATGTATTATGATAATATCATCTCTCAGAGTGTCAGAAACCCTGGCTTCAGATACAACAGGAGGGAGGAGGTGGGGAGTGGTAAGAAAGACCAGGTGTGCATGCATTGTCTACATTTTCTTCGGAGCAGGAATAAAATCAGTCACCAGTGATCTTGCACGCAACATAAAGTTGGGCTTCCTGGGCTTGTGCTGCTCAGCTGTGACTCCACTAGTGTTATCAACTCCGTGTGGCATTTGGTTATCCTACCATTGTTGCTTGCAGGCCTTTTGTCAGAAACCATGCTGATTTTACTGCCGTTTTTTTCCTCCCAAGCTATAAGAGCTTTCAAAAGTAACTTAATGGGAAGTAGCTAGACATTTTAAAAGAGATGGAGGAAAAACAAAAACCCAAAACCTTCTTCCTTCCAAATATTCTGAAATATAAGACCAAAAATGAATGTGACCTTGACCCAGCCAATATATTTTACCAAGGGGTCTAAGCCCTGAGGAATCCCAGGCCTTCCCTCCAGAACACTTATGCACATACTCACATGATATAGTGCTGTCTTAGGATTAACTTTTACAAAAGAACAGATGTATCTCGAACTTTCACTCTAGAGTCCCGTATCTTTTCAGTATTTCCTAAAACATTTAAATTGTGTTTTCCCCTCTCTATCGCACTGCAAAGGTGACAGTCTCTGTTACCATTCAACATCCTTTTGAGAGCATCTTTCCTTTTGTACCCTTAGTTCAGATTTACCAGCAACTGTTAAAAAATATCCGCCTAGGAACTCTATATAAGAACAATGAGTTTGGCCTAACTGCTGTGATGATTCAGAGATAATCATTCAGCCTCCGGGCTCTAGTTAGATATTTATTTCAGTCACTAATTTCAAATTTTATTCCTTAGTGTCTAAGTCAGTACAACCAGGCAAAAGAGAAAGAACTTAATTTTTTTTTTTTTTTTTTTGGCCACATTTTAATCTAGTTGTGTAAAAGACTTGGTGGGAAACTTTGAAAGTAATGAATCACATGAACTTTCTCAATGATTTGTGGATTTCACTCTCAAACGTTCCTTTTCTATTTCAACTCCATTATAATGGATAATTGAGAACTGACTACACAGATGGGGAATGCATCCATCCATTCATTCAACAAATATTTCAAGATGATGACAGGGACATCAAATTTGCCACATGTAACTAGGCCTTCTTAAAGAGGCAGATTATGATTGACTATGGAAGAAAGGGAGTATAGCTTTCATGTTTATATATTTTGGGTATTCCATGAACACGTTTACAAAAAACAATAAAGAAAAAGGTGCTGCATAGAGGGTATTTTATGGGTTCCAAAACAATTCATGATTTTATCACATCTATTGTTTTCTTTGAATGAGATATTTTAAATAAAAACTAACCTTACTTTTTTCAAAGCAGCAAATTGGTGAATTTTTGATGTTCTGTAATTTCCCGAATTATGGTTTTATATTAAATGTTATTCCTCCCAGAGTGGTAGCAAATTACACGATTTGCCTTTAAAGCAAAAATGAATTTGTGAATTTCAAGTCATGATTTGCCTTCATTCCACCTAGACCAGGACTCTAGATCTTAGAGCCCCCCAAACTCAGCTACTGTATATTGTAAATAGGAGCATTTGGTTAAATAAATGGCTAAATTATCAAAGTGACTACGTCATGCACCTTTTACATAGAATTTCTTATCCCGAATTATCAAGTATATACAAACTACATACTATATAGAAAATAGCTTTGTTATATTCAATAGCATATTATACTGTTGTTGGTGAAGATAAAATTCCTTTTTACTCCTATTTTCTTATATTTACCTCACATGGTCCCCACATATAAGGAAAGAATGACCTTCTTAACTCAATCCTTGCTGTCAGTCCCCAACACCCAGTCTCCAAATTCTGTGGCATCTCAAGCAGCTGGATCAGAGCAATCAGTAGATGTTTATAGAACTGAATCTTCTTTCTTTAGTGTAGACCATCAATGGCAGAAACAACAAGAAACAGTATGCATTTTTATGCTATGGATTTGCTTTGCAATATATACTGTTTAAAAGCTTTTCAACTTCTTCTATTGCAGGGGCTATTTGTATTTGTTAATGATTCTAGTTAAATAGTGAATACTTTCCTCCTGGATGAGGGGTCCCTATTAGCAGCAATCCAGACATGTTGCCTGACCCTTGGTCCCCCTGTACATTACAGGGAATCTAAAAAAATTAACTTGCCCCCAGAAACCTGAAATAGTTTGGACCCAAGTAGTGTGCATTCCCAAAATGCTGTTGTACCTCAGATAAATCTAACTTCTTGCTGCCAGATCTTAAGGAAGACTGTGTACTTTAATTTTCTCATGTGAAAAATGTAGATAGCATCTGCTCTATCTAACTTACAGGCATGTGTGGAAATAGATGCAATAAAATGGAAAGCCCTGGCATTCAATAAAATCCATTCTCTTCCCAACCTCATCAAAACCAAACTACTGAAAAAAAGCAATATATACATATGAGGGTTTTTTCTCTTCTTTCCGTAGTCTAGGATATCAGAATGATATGTTATGGTGGACAAATTCAAAGAGTTTGGGAAATGTGCCATTTCTTGGTCCTGGAATGAGAGAATGATTTGGGGTGGGGGATTGAGAAGATTATTTTAACCAGCCAGGCATTCTTACTCATTTTTCTCTGCATATCGCCACAGCTTGGACACAACAGGAACTTCAACGAGAGAAATTTGAACTTACCAGAATCGAGAAAATCGTTTTTTTTCTCTCTTTGACAGATATAGTTCTCACAGTGGGTCTCGATAAAGCCTTTTCCCCACTAGGAATTGAGAGATAGCTCATTATAGCTACTTTAAAAGAGAACAAGGGAGAGAAGGGGAGATATGGATAAGATTTCCAAAGCTAAAGAACTTGCAAATATCTAAAGAGGCCAGTATTTACTTCAAGAAATCATCAAAGAGTGAAATGTTGACAACTGAAATAACAGGAAGCAGAAAATACTCTTAGTACTCTCATTGTATTCTATCATGTAATAGAAAAGTTGTACACTTTAAATGTGCACAATTCTCTTTGCAAAGAATGGTCCTCATTGGGTTTGAGATTATCTCTGGGATCCAACAGGAACAGCATGTACTGGAGCAGAGACTGAAAAATATTATCACAAATAAGCCCATATCTCATAACTGGTAGATGTCTAGGGTATGCATACCCATCTCCCCAAGACGAAGGTGGGAGATGCCAGTATACAAGAGCCCTTCTAAACTCATTCCCTCTCCTCATAAAGACATTTCCACAGCTCCCAGAACTCCTATCTAAGGTTGTCATTGCAACTTTATGCAATGCTTTGCTCTAAACAATTCACTAATTCAGACTGTAAATCTTTATTATAAAGATTTCCTTCTCCTAAGCAGTAATTCTCTCTGCTCTGGTGGGGAGAGGAATGATTTGTTTTTTCGTTACTGGTTATTTATAAGATATCTACTCTAGATTAGTCCTGCTTGAGTGACATCCTAAATGGCTCCATTCCCCAGCAGTACTCTACTTCTGATGGGAGACTGACAACCTCTACTTAGAATGTCTTTCATGGTACACAATGAAGTGTAAAACTGCTGTGAAAAAGCCCATGTTTCAAAACAAACCATCTCTATAATAAGCACTTAAAACACTTTTCATTAATATATTTCTTTGTGTATAAAACAAAAGCTTAATGCTGCAACATGGCCTTTGACAATTTTTTTTTTTTTTTTTTGCAAAAATAAACACTATTTCAGTTTTTAGCTAGACCAAAATAATGAAAATGTAAGTGAGGCTTGTTTGAGATTTCACCCACATCCACACTCTTAATGCTGGTACAAATTGTGTTGTTTTCAACCAAAATATTAAAGTTCAACAAAAATCCAAAGGCAAAAAGCTTGAAATAGTAAATTTAGAATCTAACAACCTTTCTATCTCAGGTATTAGCAAATACCTTTGGTCTAGAGAGATATAGTCCTGTCTAATCCTTATCTGAATTTGCAATTAAGACTTCAGAGCCACAGATATCTGTACACAGTTCTGCTCTCTTAATTTTAAATGACTGAACCCAAATCAAATCAGGCTTCAAATACATTGAAAAGTAAATGTCTAATGTCTAATTGAACTAATAGATAGTACTATTTAATACAGTTAACGCTTAGTGCCAGCTTTAGGAGCCCAGGAGCTGCAGAAATAAGAGAAATGACCAACTAAACAGCATTTAAAAAGAAGAGGAAGAAAGAAAGAAAATCCTCCTTGGAAAACTTGTCATGAAATTATGATGACTTGATTCCTTAATATAAATATAAAAGCAAGCAAATTCATATTGATTCTTTCCTGCCACACCTCCTCCTCCCGTGATCTAAATGTGCTTTGAATTAGATTCCCATTCACTTCCATTAATTGTCACCTCCAATAGAATATTGTAAGAGCCTCAAAATGAAGCACTTATGAGTTTTCTTTTTCAATCTCTTGTGGGCTTCTCTCAGTTTATCGCAAATGAACAATCATGTTGGAAGGGGCTCCGTCTGTTTAATGTCATTAGCGATTGTTTCATAAAACAAACAGCCGCTCCACCATTCGGCTGCAGTTAATCTTAAATCTAAATGTGGCGGCACTCAGGGAGAGCCTCAGACATGGTTTGTTCTCACCAATGCAAGTCTCTTAATCTATTGCAAGTCAAGGCGCTTATCTCTCTGCTCAGTTCAGAGCAGGGATTTCTTTGTCCAAATACTAAACCAAGCCCAGTTAACATTTTGAGTCCAGAATTTTTTTTAACCTGCTGGGCAATTTTTTTTTAAAGCGACTCAAAGTCTACAGTATATTTATTTATTGACTGTAGTATTTTACAAATATTTTCCCAATACTGACAAAGTCAAATTCTTTTTCAGGTTGGCGCCTACAAGTCAGCCTAATCAGTGAGTTTGGGAATCCTGATAAAAGGCTAAACTGAGAACAAAAACACATTTACAGACCTGGGAATGATGGGTACTTGGAAAGTCAAAGAATTCAGGGGGTTACGTACTCCCAAAAGAGTCTGATTACCCCCATAAATTAGGCTCGATCACTATTATCTTAACAATAATATTATTATTTAGCATAGGCATGGTCTTGAGTACTTACTGTGTATTTATTTTTTAATGGAAACAGTCAAATAATTCCTAAGAAGGTATTATTATCCCCATTTTCAGATAAAGTAGCTAAGGCAGAGAGAAGTAAAGAAACTTGCAGGAGGTCACATTGCTGGTACCATCATTTCAAACAAGGTCTAACTGGCTTTGAAGCATATGTCCCTAGCCATAAGGCCCTATTAAAACTGGTCATCACACCAATTTGAAAATCCACGTCTATAACAATCATATATTCTGCAGTCCCAGGGAGAGTTCTAATTTGCAAGTTTTTGTACCTCTGCCAGATAATGTGCCCCAGATTTTTAGTGGAAAATAGTATGGTTCCACGCTATAGTTGCTAGCAGCAGAAGCCTGCCCGTGGCTGTTCAGGCTCAGATCGCAAAGGCTGCTTCAACAAATAACTACCTAGTTTTGCCACCACAGCTTAATGGAGGGGCTCCATCCAAGTTCTCTGACTTAGTCTCCCCAGGTGGAAACTTTCAGGTTCCAGTTACAGCCCTGCGTACCCCAGCAAACCTCTTAGGGGTCTCCTCCACCCACCACGTGGTTTGCCCCCCATTCACTCAAGGCCTTTAAACCTTTGCCTGCTCTTCTGTTGAGTTCTTTCTTTTTTGATTTTTAAAACCCCTTTGTTGTTTTTAAATTTCCACCTGCTACCAAATAACACCAAAAGATATTGGAAGGCAGAAATCAAAGCTTGAAGCTCCTTACATAGTATTGAATAGCCAGTCAGTCAGCCGATAAGCTGGAAAACATTTATTCACTGAGTGCCTGTTAGTCCCAAGCACTCGGTAGGCATCAGGTATACTAATATTTGCTTCTTAATATACCTACTATGCTAATAGAGCATTTTTTTTTTCTTGTTCTAATAATTTGTTGAAGAGAATCTGAAGGTCACACCTCATTCATGTCTCTCTGCTCTGGCCTTTTGGAATTATTTTCAGCTCTTTAGAGGGGATGAAGGGGACAAGCACTTTTGCCTCCAAGCACTTGCACATATGGTTCCCTTAGCCTAGTACATTATCATCCCTCTCCTCACTTGCCTAGCTGCTGTTCAATCTTCAGCTCTTAGATCACATGTCACTTCTTCAGGGATATGCCCCCATTCACTGCATCCCTAAATGGGGTAAGTGTCCCTCTGATTGGTTTCCACGGCATCTAGGATTTTCCCACATCCTGTGCATGTCTCCCACATGTCTGTAAGCACCATGAGGGATAGGGACTGGTCCATCTTGTTCAAGTTCAACATTGTCTCCCCAGCACAAGGGACCATGCCTGGTACAGAGGGGATGCCCAATCAATACTGCCTGCATGGATGCATAGAAAAAAAGGGTGTGTATATTAAAATAATGTTTTTTCTCATAACCAATCAAAAGCATCTCAAATTCTTTTAAAATGGAGACAGAATATTTATATTCTGAAGAATATATATAAGAAAATATATAGAGAAGAATATAAATAAGAATATGTGTGTGTGTGTGTGTGTGTGTGTGTGTGTGTGTGTGTGACAGTTAAGTGATGTCCATGGCCTGGGATTTAGCTCTTTTAAAATTCGAATTGGAAGCTCAGTGTGGTGGCATGCATCTGTCGTCCCAGCTACTCAGGAGGCTGAGCTGGGAGGATCACTTGAGCTCAGGAGTTTGAGGCTACAGTGAGCTATGATTACACTACTCTACTCCAGGCTGGGTGACAGGTAGGCCTCTTCTCTAAAAATAACATAAATCAATTAATTTAAATTGATAGAGAATAAAGGATATTTTGGATGGAGTTAAAAAACATCCCAGAAAGGATAAGGGGAGGCTTCAGCAGAGGAATCAGAAGAAGGAGGACATGTACATTTTTCATGTTTTGCAGTTTTAACCAGGAAAATTTTATTAATATGCACCTAGAATTCAATTCGGTTTAACCAATAGTCATTGATTGTTAGCTGATAGGCTAGACACTCTACTAGACATTATGAGGTGGTGAGAGGTAATAAAACATCCCAGTTGTAAGAAAGTGTAAGCAGAGGAATAGAAAGGAGGGCCACGACAGCAAAGACAGGTGGGCATGCCTTTCAAGGGCTGCAAGTCTCTTGTTTGCTCAGTCTCCTTTGTTCACATTGGCTCCATCTAGCAGTCTCAACCCACTGTTGCCCCTTCCAATGTTCGCCTCAACTTCCCCCTGGGGAGAGATATTAATGTTTAGGAGAGAATAAAAAAGGAGATATAGAAAGTGAGATCTAAATTGAGATTTGTTTCCTGATATACCTACTACACAAATAAAACACTTTTTTCTTGATCTAGAAAGAAGGTGAGTTTTACTACCTTGTACATACTTCCTTTTTTATCAATACCTGGCATTTCCCTTTTGTATACTCTGGATCTTCTAGAGTCAGCTCTGAGTAAAACGATTATTTCCTAATTTATACAATTAATACAATAAGTGTACTCGTCTTCAGAATCAAACAAGGTTTTGAAAAGTGGCAAATTTCAGTAATGGAAACCAGAAAACAAAGTAAAACAATCTTACAAGTAATCTTATATCTTGACTCAGAGTAAATATTTGGTGAGTGCATAAATGATCCATAATTTCATTGTCACCAGAAGCATCTATCTCAACAAATCTCAAATCAGAGTGGTTACAAATAATCAAATGGGCTGACTTGGGTTCATTGTATTCTTCCTGTCCCTGCCAGTGCCTACTATCTAAAGAATGCAACAATTAAAAACGGTAATAACAGCAACAAGGCAATACTTTGAAAAGAAGCAAAATTAATCTTTTATCTGTATTACCAAGCATTAAAAGGTTGTGCTTTCCGTATTGGGCTTAAACATGACCACAATTTGAAACACCTTAACACTTGTCAAGTAATGGGAAAAGTGATATGGCTCATTTAAAAGTCCTTTCTTCCTTTCCACTAGTTTGTGACTTAAGGTATACAACTTGGAGCTGTCCAGCTCTTCAATCCATTCCCTAGTTTTCAGGCAATCAGTTTCATGCTTTACACCCTGAGGGTGTATATATAGTTCTCCAGTTGTCTGACTCTCAAGTACTGTGATAATGGTACCTTGTAGTGGCTATTAACAATAACAATAGTCATACCAACACTCTGCCAAGTGCTTTAGACCCACTGCTTTATTAATTCTCACAATAACACTCTAGGATGGTTGTTATATCATTAAATGCCTTTTTTTCCTTCAGATGGGGAAAATGAAGCTTGGAGGGCTGTGTAAATTGCCCAAGGCCATGGAGCTATTAAGAATGAGAACCCTGTGGTAATAGATCAGGCTAGGGAGGATTTTTTTTTCTGCAACAGTTCTTAGGTCTAAAAACTTGACTTAATTCGTGAGCTCAAAACACTTACCCAAAGGAAAGGGAATGCCAATATAAGTGTAGAAGCACCTTACATAAACAATCCCTGGATTGTTATTCATATGAAATTCTCAAGATTGTAAATTTTTGATAGCCTATGAAGCAAGCATTTAACGAATGATTTTTGGAATAAACTCATAAGTTACCTAAGAGTGCTAACTCCTACAAAATTTTCTTTTGATCAGTTCTTACCATTTATAGGCTCAAAATCAACTTAAAAAATGGGTTAGTACAGGCAAGAAGGGGAGACAATTATATTGGGAAGCTATTTACATTGGGAAATGGCATTGATGTGAGAAAATCAGTTGAGCTCATTTCCTTAATCCTTCATTTTGGGTTTTCCTTCTTAAATGTATTAGATATATTTTCATATAATATTTAATAAAAGTATCTGGAGTGTGAGTATTTTCAGGCCATAACCTGTTGTTGTTGGCTATGAAGGCTCTTTAGGAAGCACCATAATTTTCAATAAATCACTAAGAAAAACAGAATCTTTATTATTTAGGGAAAAAAACACAAAATTCCTTTGCTCTCAACTGCAGTAGTTATACTGATTTTGAATTCTTTAGTTTTACAAATCCCATTTGAGTTCACACTACCTAACCAGTAAGGTGTAGTAGAGGATAAGTGGGAGAGGGAGTGTGAGGGACCAAAAAGAGAGGAAGGAGAATGAGAGAGAAACCTGAAAATAAATTATCAAAGAGAAAACTGGTCACAATATTAATATATGCTTAACATTTTGAGCTAAAGTAGATTATTACCTCCCTTGATATTGTAAGGTTAAGTTCAGTTCTATTTCTTGATTTTCAGTTTTTCTTCCCAGTTAAATTTACTCCAACATTAAGTTGTTAAGGTTTTCACTGGGCATGGGCAGTCACACACAATGAAGAGAGCAAAGGTTTTGGATTCCAACAGATGTAGAGGTGGATGGATCTCAGATGATTACCAGATCAGGGTAAACTGCTCAAGGTTTATGATCCTTGGTTTTGTCGTCTATAAAATGGAATAATAATGGCCTATGTAGGTTTGTGATTATTATCTATAATAAATATAAAAACTTATGAGACTATTTAGCACACAGTAGGTATTCAATGTGTTATAGTCTTGAAGACAAGATTAATCTGGGGAAAAAAGTAAATAAAATTCAGGACAGATTGAAATAAATGCTGCGATAATTCAAAGCAATGTTCTACAAGGTATGGTACTTCTGTGGCTATCAGAATCTACAGGGGTTCTTGTTAATCACACAAATTTCTGGGTCTCATCTCAGATCTATAGGACAGAGTCTCCAGGGGTTGGATTAAGAAATATGCAAATCTGCATTTTCAACAAACTACCTAATTGATTCTTTTTTTTCTTTCTCTCCCCCACTGCCCCACTTCCTTTAAATAGAGATTGGGTCTTGCTAGTCTTGCTAGTTGCCCAGGCGGACTCTTTTACTCTTTCTTTTCTTTCTTTCTTTTTTCTTCTTTCTTTTTCTTTCTTCTTTTCTTTCTTTCTTCTCTCTCTCTCTCTCTCTCTTCTTTCTTTCCTTCCTTCCTTCCTTTCCTTCCTTCCTTCCTTCCTTCCTTCCTTCTTCCTTCTTCTCTTTCTTTCTTTCTTTTTTTTTTTTTTTTTTTTTTTGAGACGGAGTCTCGCTCTCGTGCGCCCAGGCTGGAGTGCGGTGCCGGATCTCAGCTCACTGCAAGCTCCGCCTCCCCGGTTCACGCCATTCTCCTGCCTCAGCCTCCCGAGTAGCCTGGGACTACAGGCGCCCGCCACCCGCCCGGCTAGTTTTTTGTATTTTTTAGTGGGAGACGTTTCACCGTGTTTGCCAGGATGGTCTCGATCTTCTGACCTTGTGATCCACCCCGTCTCGGCCTCCCAAAGTGCTGGGATTACAGGCTTGAGCCAACCGCGCCGCGGCCTCTTTCTTTCTTTCTTTTCTTTCTTTCTTTCTTTTCTTTCTTTCTGTTTTTTTTTTTTTTTTTTTTTTGAGACAGGGGTCTTGTTTATCCCCCAGGGTGGAGTGCAGTGGTGCAATCTCGGCCTCACTGCAACCTCCACCTCCCAGGTTCAAGCAATTCTTCCTGCCTCACTCCTGAGTAGCTGGGATTACAGGTGTGCACCACCACGCCTGGCTAATTTTTGTATTTTTAGTAGAGATGGGGTTTCACCATGTTGACCAGGCTGGTCTCAAACTCCTGACCTCAAGTGATCCTCCTGCCTAGGCCTCCCAAAGTGCTGGGATTACAAGCATGAGCCACCATGCCTTGCCCAGGCTGGACTCTTAACCCCTGGTCTCAAGCGACCCTCCCTCCTCAGCCTGCCAAGTAGCTGGGACTATAGGTGTGCACCGCCTCACTGGGACCTAGTTGATTGTTATGTTCACTAAAATTTGATATTTTCTACTAGAAAGAAAAAAAAATTGTATCCCTAAGAGATCCAACAGCAAACAGATGGCTCATTTAACCTCTGATCATTCTAGGAGGGTTGACTTACAAAGGGTCTAATTTAAAGAGGACTAATTACAGGGGTAGGGGAACAACAGATGCTGCAGGAACCAGGGTGAAGAGCAGTGGAACTAGTCCACAAGGCCCAAAGTGAGAGGCCTGGTGGATTGCAGAACTTGGGAGGGGGAGAGTTGTATGGAGCGGCCTCCCTTTAGGGAAGTGGTGACACTTGACCGAGTGATACATCCAGAACAAGGCTTGGTAGGGGGCGAGGGGGCAGTAAGCTGGAGTATGAATATCTTGCTCTTACTTTTCTTCTTCTCTCCAATCTCCTACTGAGTTTTCCCAATGGCCAGAGCCAAGTGGAAGTGAGAAAAGCCAGGAACCCCATTACCAATATTTGTCTCATTCATTGATAAGACTCTCTGTGCCACCTGGAACAGAGAGCCAGTGGGAAAGGCTGGAGATTGTCCTGGAGGGGCAGGTGGAAGATATCTGGCCTGGAAGAGTAGGGAAGGGGTGGAGGCAGGAAGGGGGAAAACATCACAAATGAAACAACTTTTGAGGTTTTGAATGACTAAAACACTATTAACCATAATAATGATGATAATGGCTCTATTTACTGAATTTTTA